TTATTTTCCATTTAGTTTAGCAGATGGAACAACTACTTTGATAATCAAAAGAATTATTTTAACATACCTACTTTTGATAATTACTTATAAGAATACCAATTTCTTTATGACACAAAATGGAGAAACTATACCCATCATATGCAACCAGATCAGTTACATTACTTTCCTGCTTCATTCTTTGTAATGCTTTGGATCAGTTTAATTTCAAACATAATTCCCCCCTAATTGATTTGAGATAGTTAAAGTTTCTGTCAAATTTTTATTTGCAAGCAAGGAGGTATAGAATTCAACTTCTAAACGTGCGTCTTTATATTCTTTTTTATAACAAATTCAGGACAACGTAAGGTATCTAGAGTTTGGGAATGTTTGTTCCATATTATGCCTGGGTAGATTATAATATTATATATAGTTGTGTTGCTTGTGCATTAGTTCTTATATGTGGAACCTACCCATGGCTTTGTTTCATAGGATCTCTCTTTGCATTTAATTTTCTTGGTCAGGATTTGCTTCCAAAAAGTTTGGTAAAATCCATGTATGTTTCTTTCCTTGCAGGATGTTTCCGCTCAGTATGATTTGGCTTGGAGGAAGCTCATGGGTAAGCCCGCTATTCAGCTGCCGTTGATAAATTATGCTATTAATGCTGACTGTTCTCTATTTACTGATATTGTCAGGAAAGGACATGCCTTGCAGTTTAATTGGTTATTTGAGAAAAAAGCCTTCACCTTGCATCCAGATGATACATTTTCTGTTGATTTTGATAAGGTACGTCAGTTCTAGGTTAACTCTCCTATGAATTTGTTTCCTGAAAAACTGCTGCCAATAAGCTTTGTTATTTGAAAGGTTGAAGAAGCGGTTGAAAGCTTGAGGAGGAAGATACTAACGATACGGCCACAGGGGTACAAGGAAGCTACAAGCTTGCTTCTTCAGAAGCACTGTGTGATTACAACTCCATTAAAAGTTGCATTGCAAAAATTAGAATGCACTCAGGTATGTGCTGCGGTATTCTTGCATCTGCTGATGCATACGTATACTCATTTAGAACTAGTTTAATCACTATAAGATTACTTATTTATAGGAATTTTGTGTTGAGAAGGAATTAAGCGGTTTTTCTAAACAGATATGAGTTTGGGACAGATGAAACTGTCTTGACTTATATATGTAACATTTTAAGTAAATCATTTCATTTACTTGGGTGATTTTATTTGGTTAATTTTTGAAAGTGAGATGATCACAAAGAGAATGCATAATATTGATATTGGAGTTGGCTTATGTGAAGGAATTGAAAATATTAAAGTATTATATAACAAAGCAATCTTAATTCCAATAATTAGAAGTGTTTACATATTTTCTGTGTAAAAGGGAATTTATTTGGGGTAATTTGAAAAATAAATGGTTTACTACTGCACCCATATTTTGGTAGAAGCCATCTATGTTGAGTTTTGGATTGTGGCTTGGGATTTTCTCTATCTGTACAGGACTTGGAAATTACTACTAAATTGTTTTTATCTTCATTTATTATCTTGTAGGTGCCCGTGGATACAGCTCCCACATTTCCAGTGGCCCAAAAATTATTTGAATGAAGGCGACCATCATACATTTTACTCCCACCGTGTTACAAAAAGAGCGCCTAAGTGGCAGTAGAGCTAGGCGTTTCTTTTATTTGTTAGATTTTTCTGTTTTATTTTGGCATTTTTTCAGAAAAATAAGAACACCTACAACAGCTAGCTAGCAGCCCCTAAGCACATAGCGCCTTCTGCAACACTGCTAGTACTACCTTAAACAGCAACGCAGTTCTCATTTAGGTGACAATAGCAGAAGAGTGTGCATTAGCATTTGAACTAATGATGCTTTTTGATTTAAATGTTAAGTATCCGATTTTTATAATAAAATGATGTTGGACATTCCATTGGCTAGTGTTAGGTAATCACCATCAAGTGATTTTTTGCAGCAGTGAAATTCGATGATATCTTCCCTGCAGCTGTCTGTTCACAAATCAGAATGAACCACAGCGGGTGGGTTACCTGGAACTGTCATAGGTTATCATGCAAATTGTAATTCAAGGAAAATCTAGCATAATGGGAGAAAAGCAATGTTTTTAAACGTGGACCAGATTGGCCGATTGAGCTGGTTGAATTGAGCGGATTGGTGACTGGTCATAAAATTGGTCTAGTTAGAAATATAGAACCATTTATGCAGTTGACTTGGTTAAAAACTTGAAATTAGTGTGAACTGGTGAACCGATTGGTTCTTGTTTTTAGGAAGAGAATGAAGGGCATTGCCAAGATTGAAACACAGCCTTATAACCCCAGGTCAAGTGGTGAAGTACAAGGCTTCTTGTAACATCACTTGTATAGAATATATATTTATTATATTTTAGGAGAATGCTGTTTTGCAAGTTGGCTCACAGATTGACCATTGATTTTTGAGAAGAAAAGCTCAACATAATAATATGTGTAAAAATAATTCATTAAAGTGAAAGTCTACTGTATCTCGAGGATGTCAATAGTATTATTGGCCAACAATAGCATGCCACAACATGACATGTTGTGATTGGTTAATGATATCGTTGATATGGTATATTCAAAATATAGTAGACTTTTTTTCTTATTAAGATTTGAATTTATATGACGTTAAATGCTTGAAAGTATACAAATCATTTAGCCAATAAGCTTTGTTATCTTTACCAAGCAAAAAAAAATTATATTTATTATATATAATTTATAAAAACATTTTGACATTATCTGGTTAGGTGGTGGTTCAATTGAACGACTTGCTTCGGTCTAGTGGTATTGGACCCTGGGTTAGGGCTGTTTACCTCTGTAGGTTGCACGTTCGAACCCCACGAAACTCTTTTCCCCCCTCCCCCAATTAACCCTGTAAATAATTACAAATTGTTCAAAAAAAAAAAATGGTGGCGGTTCAATTAATCTGACTGAAAACAAAAGTCCAAACAGTTGACTTTTGGTTTGAGTTTAAAAACATTGAAGAAAAGCACAGAGCTCCAAAATCTGTAAAATGAGTATTTCTTTTTGTTTTTGGTTCTCTGTTCGACATAAATTCGGGGCTCTTTGTTTCGCAAATGGATTGTCTGGGTAGCTCTGTTTTCTTAGGTACGTGTAGAAGTAAAACCTAATGCAATTACTGTGTGTTTATAAAATCTTGTTTGTAATTTGAGCGAGCACATTGAATGCATGGGGGAGTCTTAGAACTCAAGATTCCCAGCTGAACAAACCTGGCTTGCAGAAATTATATTTTTCTAAAATAAACGCTACCAAATTGAGAAACTCCCATTACAGTTGTTACTAATAATAATTCGTGAATCACAAGAACTTTTCTTCACCTAATAACAAGTTTCAATTAAATAAATAATAGTCGTGATTAATTATCAATAATAGTATAGGTTTATTTATTTATAGTCCCGATAGCTTATTATTAATCTTGATTGTTGATTAATTTGGAAGCACCCTTAGTTAAATCAAGATTAAGGATTCCTTTGAAAACATGCAAAAATTTGACCAAGGATGCTTCCAAAAAAATTCAACCCCACCATGGTGTTTTTAGTTAAAAATTGCTACAAATTGGCAAAATTTATAATACAGAAACAAATAAACATTTTTTAGACCAGTAACACTTAAGATATAAAATTAAAAAGAGAGAAATTTATTATCTCAAACACACATACAGTGTAAAACTCAAATTTCCATTAAAACTCAACTCTTCTTTTACAATGAAAAGAACACATTTATAGGCTAAAGGGCATTAAATGAAAAGAATTAACAGTCGGGAGTTGCATGGAGTTGGTTGGGTGATGTTGGCCTCCATTGTTGACATTTTGGCCATTTATTTGTTAAGTTTTTT